GGGAAGAATTGATGATAGAACACCCAGAGCAGCAAGATATCTTGAGGTCAAACACATTCATAAACACTGATTATAACGGAAATGTTATACAGAAGGGCAACAATTTTAAGTGTAAAACATATCAGTGTCTCCTTCCTGAACTCAGGCTGACAGAACATTCAGGCTTTTTTATCTCTGAAGATTTCCAAACTCATCAACAAAACGCACACGATGAAATGAGAGGAATTTGCTGCTGCTGCACAGAGGGCAGGAGCTAAGAACCAAACAGGCTCTCAGTCTACTCAGACTTGGAGCAGCCCTTAGCAGAGTTCGTGCACTTACAAAAGCCTCACACCATTCGCACACCTGCAAGTTTTCACCTGGTTGATTCAGCTTACCATAGTGCTCTGTATTCTGTCTTCTACAAACTGAAGAATTCGTGTGCCACCTGCTGGTAACAAAGCCTAGCACAGAAAGTGAGGTAAAAATTAGTTTCCAGCAGCTGAAATTCATTCACCAAATTGCAAAAAGCCTCCAAAACAACATCTGCGTATGGTCTAGAACACACAACATCAGTTTGCTATATTCTTCCAACTATAGTCAATACTGCAAACACAACATATTCAGTGTACAGGCATCATTAATGGAGATATCTGTACTGGCTTTAGTGTTATTCAACATATTCCTAAATAGTCTAGAAATGGGACTGAAGAGCACAGGGAAGGTTTTTTTGATCATTCTGTGCTGCAAGAGCAGAATGTAAAAGACTATATGAGACTAAAAAGCAATAAAATGGCAGATGAAATTCAATATCAAACAGAAAATTATGCTGATAGGGGAAAAGCTCCAATCTTACACCGGAACTTAAGCCTGCATGATACCTTAATTTAGTTTTGCCACTGAAAGGAAAAATACTGTCTCATGAAGTTCTTCCTGGTTCTACAGTGCAGACCAATCCTGCCTGACCAGTCAGAGTGGAGCACTGTCTTAAGTGCAATAAGCCCATTTTCTTTGGTCATTTTAACAGAACATGTTAACAAGGTATCCTCCCAACATTAGTCAAACTAATTCTACCATGATTAATGGAGGATTACTACTTGCAGGATTGGAGGGAGCCCAAATACAGGGGTGCAAAGTCACGAGAACAAAGAAAACACTGACAACTTTAGCAAACACTGAGGACATGAGCAAGTCAAGTTTGAGACATTCATGTCAACAACACCCTTAAAAAGTCCCAAAAACTCCACAAAAACAACTTGTTGAACAATCCTGAAATCACATTTGCTGCATCAGAAAAAAATTAAGCAACAATATGCTAAGAGTATGTACACACAAGTGTGTGCTTTTCCCAGGAAAACTAGCATTCGGAATAGTGCAGAATTTTTAATTTTGTCTTAGGGGCTTCTCACAGTAATCAATACATAAGTTACCTAAATAATTCTCGTGCTCATGCAGGGTACCAAGCACAAAACAACAGGCAGCCCCACGAACAACTTAACAACCTCACACTGCAATCGAAGGCAAACAGTGAGACATACCCCACGCAGGGAGGGGTGGAAAGTGCTTATCAGCACAGAGACCATGACCTCAGCGCTGCCCAACACGCCAGGCTTCCCTCTAGCTCATAAGCACAGCAGCCCCCACGCCTGCCTCTCAACGAGAGGCCCCGGATTTTAACACAACACCTTCAACCTATGGGCAATTCTGCTGCATGTGGATTTTTCCCTCTTACAATAACAATTTCCTATCCCAGGCCTCAACTTTCATCACCACCAAAAGCAGCACGTGACCTGGTGGATTGCGAGTCTCCCATTTGTGATTAGGGAGAAACACAAGAGCTTGTTGACAGAATTGTGCAGTTCAAACGTCCCTGCTGAGGCTACGTACGTATGGTCAATACAAAAGACACTTAGTTTGGGTCTTCCTCCTAAGAGCTTGGGATATGGAGAAAAAATACAACCGGAGGGCTTGCAGTTAAAAGGAAAAACAAAGACTGGAACAAACCCTCAAAGTTTTGGAAGGACAAAGTATTGGGAGAGGCTCTTAAAATATAAAAATACTGTCTCTAAAGCTATCATCCAAACATTAGTATACTGCGTAAGTTAGCTTTGAGACTTTGGAAATATTAGCAGAAAAAAAAAAAGGCAAAGTGCATTGTACCTCAAGGCTGCTGCTGTTGTCATCTTCATCCATGTCTGGAGGTATGGATGAGACAAAATAAGGGGAAAAAGGGAACAGGTTACAGGTTAAAAAGCGAACACAGGCGGCCAACGCCGCGGGCCAGACCCACGCGGAGGAGCCGCGCGGCCAGGCCGCCCCCAGCGCCCCCCGCCGCCCCTGCCCCGCCGAGGGGCTCGGGGGAAGGGGCCAGGCCCGCCCCCAGCCCGGCCCCGCCCCGCGCCGGCCAAACCTCCTCGAGGAGGAGCTTCAACCCGGGACAGGGGCCCGAGGGACCCCGCCCAGGCCCGGCTGCCCCCGCTCGGCACCGCAACCCCCGCACCGCGGCCAGACCTGCCTCAAACAACACCAATATTAGGGAAAAAAACAGTCTATGAAACAGAATGTGTAAAAACAGCCGCCGCGACGCCCCGCCGCGAGAGGGAGACCCGCGGGGAGGCCCGGTTAGACCCGGCACCAGCGGCTCCGGGGGCCGCCCGGGCTCGTCCGCCCGCGTCAGCGCCGGACACCGCCCGAGAGGCGAGAAAGCACCGGGGCCTCGGCCGGGGCTCCACCGACGCCGCCGCCCGGCCCGGCGGGGCGAGCGCGAGGCAGCCCGGAGCTACGCGGAACGGGGTTAGACCCGACCCGGTTAGACCCGGCCTGGGGCCACCACAACCCCCTCACCTGCTGCACGGCCCGCCCGGTGGGGTCAAAGGTCAGTCGCGAGGGGCGGGGGCGGAGGAGGCAACGCCCCCCCTCCGCCGCACCGCTAAGCCCCGCCCACCGTTCGGAGGGCTCGCCGCGGAGTGGCGGGCTCCTCGC